ATTTACTCTCTATGTGTTTATGTACTATTAGTTGGTGCTATCACATATCAATAATGACATGGTATTACCATTATATTGAATTTTTAATCAAATTTTGTATAAAAAAAACATTTATCATTGTATAATTTATTTTAAGACTTATATCGAAATTTTTTTGGTATTGTCCATTATACACTAGTTACAAATAACATTATTTTTTTGATATTTCTGGAAATCAATCGTAAAAACTTACATGAAATGTTTTTGTAAAAATTTTCGATATTGTAATTAATAAGTGCTCTCTCTAATTTAATTTTCTAGCTCTGCCACTGCTCGTGAGGGCTCACCACGGGTTCCATTTCAATAATCCGAACCGTTCAATGTGTAGAACTTATCGAGTACTAAATGTCTGTAAAAAATCACGTTGATCGGATATCGATGGCTATCTCATCGATCAGATTTCTGTCAACAGTTTATTTTTTTACCATCCATTTTTTTATACATAACTGATTTGATCACGTAACTATCGATATCCAATCAAAGTAATTTTTTATAAGTATATACTACTCGACGAGTTCTACATATTATACAGTTTAAATTATTAAAACAGAATCCGTAATGGACTTCATAGATTTAATAGTATCCTCCCATCCGATCACGGGAGGGAAGCCCGCCCCATTGTAATTTACTTTGTTTTTTAATATTGCATATGCTTTAAGTACGGAATTCACGTGTTTCATATACAGTATAATCAGCATTTCTTGTCCTTTTGGTTGACGTGGATAGATCTCAACGACCCTTTAGTTTTTAAAATAAATTAATTTAAAAAAAAAAAAACCAAATAGATAGCTCCGGAAATGCTCCATCATATTATATGTAACTTATCACAAAATATATAATTTTATTATAAAATTATGTAATATTAATTATAAAATATATAATTTCGTTATAAATTAACATGATAAAAATGTCGTAACCAAATTATAAAATTTCATAACATTAATCACAAAATTACAAACTTTTGCAAGACCAATTACAAAATTTTTAAAATTTTTGTTACGTTAATTTGTAGTGAGATTACACATTTTATAGTTCATATTACAAAATTTATGATAAAATTATACATTTTTATGATTGGTTACAGATAATGTGCACCCCTAAATGTGCGCACAGCAGAATTTTCCCTTACTGTTCAAAGTAGTGTGAGAGGTGAATAAATACAGGCTAGAATAATTCTTTACTGAAATTACAAGACTATTCTGAGAATACATTTGGAGCTCTCTTTTAGCTGGGAATATATTTGTGTAGAATTGTTCCGTTTTGCCCTAGGCATTCACCAATATCATAATATTTATGTATATATTTATGGACAACAACAAAACTAATCTAGAGCTGGGTTTCCCAGGAAATCTTGGTTTGCACCCTTCACTCCACTACTTGTGAGGATCTCTTATTTATTTACAATTTCCATCCCTTCCTATCCATTTATTTATTCATCCATGTGGGGTTTTGCAATACAATTGAATAATGATTCTCCAAGTTGTATGTTTTTCAATATATATATATATATATCCATATACATGTGCTTATATGTGTGTATATATAAACATTAATATGATTACAATAATGGGTAGCTAAAATATTGGGACTTAGATTGTTCCCATGTAAACTTGTTCTGGGGTGCCTCTATTTACACACCATATTTGGTCTTAAGGCACACCACTACTTAGTTCACACCTTTAATAATTTGAAAAAACATACAGCTTGTTTGGTTCTGGTTTTCAGAAAACAGTTTTTCAAAAAATTTTACGTTTTTATTTTCCGTATTTTAATGTTTTCAATGAATTTTTTTAATGTTTTAAACAATTTTTTTTTTCAAATTTTTAGACAAACCTAACATAAATACACTTAAAAATATAATATTTATGAAAAAAATCTTTAAAAAATACACTAAATATCAAAAAAATACAAAATATATATATATGAAAAGTCAGTACAATTTTCGTATTTTTGTGTATTTTTAAATTTTTAAAAATATTTTTCACAAATATTATACTCTTTAAGTGTATTTATGTTAGGTGTGTCTAAAAATTAAAAAAAATTGCTAAAACATTAAAAAAATTCATTGAAAACATTAAAATACGAAAAATAAAAAAAAAATAGAATTTTCTGAAAACCAGAACCAAACAAGTTGTATGTTTTTTCAAATTATTAAAGGTGTGAACTGAGTAGTAATATGCCTTGAGACCAAATGTGGTGTGTAAATAGAGGCACCCCTTGTTCTGGTTCCCCTTCCCCATGCCGGTTTGTTCTTGTCTTCTGGATTTAAGATTCAAATTATTCTATGCATTCAATTTTTCCATTTTATGCACTAAATCTCCCTACATTATTTGGGTTTTCTTTTTTCTTTTCCTTTTTTTTACTTTTTTTTTTCTTTTTTTGAGGACTTGGGTTCTGAGAGTTTTGTGACCCACTTTGTTTGGTAATCTTGATCCTATATCTTCAAGCTTTGTATTGTTAGCTTCACTTGCTTGTTGTATCTGTTAACAGGTGTATGATTTCTTGAAAATTTCATGAAACAATGCTTCTTTGAAATTGCTGAATAATCAGTTAGGCATTTGGTGGCTTGCATAGAAATGGAGACTGGTCTATTCATTAGGAGAACATGATGGTGGTGTTATTTTGTATGTGAGTGCGCATGAAAGTCATGGGTAGGACAGGAAATGCTAGTGTTTCTTCCTCAAAGCCGAATGTAGTGAATATTGGAGCTCTATATAACTTCAATTCTGTTATTGAACGATCATCAAAGCCAGGAATTGAAGCTGCGGTTGATGATGTCAATTCCGATTCAACTGTTCTTGGTGGGATGAAATTGAATCTTATTTTGCATGACACGAATTGCAGTGGCTTCCTTGGAACTGTGGAAGGTAATCTCTAGATGTATACACTTGTATTGACAAAGAACTGTCCTTACTTGAGGCAACCAAAACAGAACATGTTATAAGGATTAGTTATTTGCCTTGGCATAATAGGAATTCGCTACTAGTTATATTTTTTTGTTGAGTATCAAGTTCTTTCTTGGATATAGAGTCTCAGTATAAGTTTCTTATAACTACACTATTTTTTGAAGATCTATGTTTTTAACGGCATGTTCCTAGTCTTCTTAGAAGACTAGTTATATAATTGCAACCAAATTGCCGACTTTGTTGAACATATTTTAGCCTTGATCTATGGATATTGTCCTACTACAACAACCATTGACAAAGAAGTCTTTCGATGTCTTTGTTGTATTTTTTTATGATGAATGTCGAGTTTGGCGCAAGGGCATTTTCTGTGTGCTCTTGGTTTAGTTTGGTACTTTCAATTCTTTCTCTTGCGTGGTATTTGTCCTTCGGGTACTTTATTTGTCATGTATTTGTATGACATTTGAGTTTTCATTCCCGAAAATTATGCCTAATGGTTCTTAGATATGACAATGAAGTTGTGCTAATATTTGTATGAACAATGAATTATAAGCATGTATAAATAAAATAGGGTAGAACCCTCAAGTACTGATCTAATTAGATATACTATTTCAAATAATAAGAGAAAACTATTTCAAAAATAATTTATGTTTTCTAGATCACAGGCAGCACTAATTAACCTACTCACAGATGGGTAAAAAAAAAAAAAAAGCATTCTAGCACTTCACATCCAACATTATGTTCAAATGAAATTTATCAAAAATGAATAAATTCTATGTGACCGACAACTCCTGTCAATGAAAAAGAATGACGACTAAGCAAGAAAATTTGAACTAGCTTCTCTCTCTCTCTAAAAAAATAACCCCCAATTAGTACACATTAATGTATGTTTGGGGGGAGAAAAATTAAGTACACACCTAACCTTTGGCGTAATTTATAAAGTGATGGTCCCAAACTTGAACCCATAACCTTAAGGTTATTAGGCCAAGTCTTAACCATTGAACCAATGGGTCACCCCTTCTCTCTCTCTCTCTCTCTCTCTCTCTCTCTCATCAAAGTAAGAAATGAGAAATTTTGACAAGTTGTCTTTAATTACTTATGTAGCTTTGTAGTTGATAAAGAATGATGTGGTTGTTGTAGTTGGCCTTTGGTCCTCTGGAATAGCACGTGTTATTTCTCATGTTGTCAATGAACTTCATGTGTTGCTCATGTCATTCGCAGCAATAGACCCAACGCTTTCGGCATTGCAGTTCCTTTCCTTCTTCCGTACTATACACCGTGACTATTTCCAGATGTATGAAATAGCACAAAGCTGCCTTTACTCCCGGAGCCTCTAGAAGTGACATCAATGACTTGTTAGTTAGAGTAAACATGATGGAATCTCGGGTTTATGTTTTTCATGTTAATCCAGACTCTGGCTTGACAATTTTTTCTGTAGCAAGGTTGCTTTGGATGTTGACCGCCGGCTATATTTGGATTGCCATAGATTGGCTTCCTTTTGTGTTAGATTGGTCAGAATCAGTTGATCGTAACACAATGGTTTGTTTGGGAAATGGGTTGGCTTTTTGACTTTTTGGCTATTTTAGCCTGGGGCTAAAAAGCCTCGTTTGGGAAAGACTTTTTGGTTTTTTTGACTTTTTGTGAGAGAAAGAATGTAATGATTATGGGTTAAATGTGATGTTTGTCTTATTGCGCTAAAAAGCCTATTTTGTTTTTTTGTGGCTATTTTAGTCAAAAAAAACCCCAACCTCAACTTCCCAAACAGAGGCTAATCTCTTAAAAGGGGTTATTGCATTTCGCCATCACACCCCAGATTCTGATCTCAAAAAGAGTTTTACATCTAGATGGAAAAACTTCACATATAGAGAGACCTTGAGCTTCAATTCTTATGCACTCTATGCTTATGATTTCGTTTGGCTACTTGCCTATGCACTTGATGTTTTCTTCAACGAAGGAGGAAACATCTCGTTCTCCTACGACCCTAGGTTGCATGACACTAATTGTGATAGTTGAGTTTTTCGGGTCGCTCGAGCGGTCATTTGGTCGCTCGAACGGTGATCTTCAGCTCCTAATAGTTGGCTGTTTTGCAGGCAGGCTCGCTCAAGCAATGGAGTTGTCGCTTGAGCGTAAAATTCATGCACCCAGTATTTTCACTATAGCCCTGCAAAACTTCTGGGACTTCTTTTTTTTTTTTTCACTTGATCGGTGGAATGATCGCTCGAGCAATCTTTTCAAATTTGTGTTGTTTGCTCGAGCGTAAGAAGTTGTGCTCGAGTAGTCTGTTTGGGATCAGCCAGTATAAAAGTCACTTTTTGCTCATTTTCTGTCATTTTTTCTCTCTTTTCTCGCCCTCCCCTCTTCATGTCCAAAAACCCTAGCCACAAAACCTTTGATTTCACCTTATTATACCAAGGATCCACCTTAGATCATGCAAGATTAGTGAAGAAGGAGTGAGGATCTTCCTTTTGACCGATTGGATTGCGATTTCGTCGGAGTTCGTGCTTGGGTCTTCATTGTTTTCTCATCTTCTTGAGGTAGGGAGTTCTCTTAACTCAATCACTTACGATTTCGTTCGATTTTGATGTATTATGGGAAGTATTGGTTGATTTGAGTTTGAAATCTTTGATTAAAAGATGTTCACATTTCAAAATTGGGGTTTTCACTCAAACCTTGAAATATTTAAAATGTTTTGGTACTTTGTTGGTTAATACTTGATGATTTGAGGATTTAACAAAGAAATGAGGAAAACCCCCAAATTTTCTTGAAACCCTAGTTTTAAAATCTTTCAATAAAAAGAGGGTTTGAGCTAATTGGTACTTTATGTTGAAAATTAAATTGATTTTACATGTTGATGAGTGTGCTGGATAAACTATTTAACTATAATGATATTATTGGTGAATTAAATAAGTTGAATTGTGTGAACACTTGTAATGTTGGAAGGGTGTATGGTAATGTTTTGCATGGAGTGATGGTTGGTAAAGTGTAGCACTAGGAGACTTGTAAATAAGAATAGTTCATTAGATTGTATGTGTTGAACTCTTGTGAAATTAAAAACAAATTTCGGGGTAAAGAGGAAGGTTTGAGAACTCATGCATTGCATTGCATTTCCAGGGGGTTGGATTAAATATTGGATCATTTAAAGGTGTGTGTGTGTGTGGTTTTGGAATGCGTTGTGTGTGTTAAGGTGCCCAATTTCCCTTCGGTGGTCGGTGGCCTGTAAATGTGAGGGATGTCATTAATGTTTTGGTAAAGGTGCCCAACTTCCCTTCCGTGCTCGGTGGTTGTAACGCCCTCAAAATAATAGCATTAAACCCATTAAATAAGACATGCATTGATATTCAAAAGTCCCACATTCTATCATTACATCAGAATTCTATTACATAAGTATTACATGTTAACAACAAAAGCAAATGCCCTACGGGCTTACAGCTTTCCAAGTTAACACATGGTTACAACAAAAAGAGTACTAACTCATACACGTTAAGCCCTTGGCTTGAATTTACATGTAATACATCAAAAGGTAAAACGACAATAGTATGTCCGCCTCTAGCCTCCCAAGCTATGTCCTTGGAGGTGGCATGCTTCCTGTACCTGAAAATGATATTCCCATATAGGGTGAGCCACAGCCCAGTAGAAATACACTAAACCAACCATGAACAATGACTAAAATATTAGCAATTGATAGATGGCCAACACTGACACATTCACATAAATTACATATTTATGTCATACGACTTTTGAGTCCAAGTTTCCTTTCATTTTCCTTTTTTTCAACGGATAGGCATATAAGCACTACCCACATTCTCAACAGATATGTATAACCACAATATCCACATATAAGCATATAAGCTATATCCACATTCTACAACAGATATGTATACCCACAATATCCACATTATCACAAAGATAAGCATATAAGCTCTATCTTCACTTCTCTAGACAAGCATATGAGCTGTGTCTACGGAGTTCATCCCCTATCTCCTCCCAAACAAAACCGGTTTAGAGAGG